TCTGTGGTTTTTAAAATATTTTATATTAATTTGCAGGGCTTGTTTTGTTTGTTTTATGGAGAGCTTGTATATAGAGACCAGTAAGAGGCTATACACTACTTCTCATCCTTTTAATTACACAAATGTCTCGTTAAAAATGTCTACAAATTGATGAAACTGATCCGAGATCAGGTAAAAACCATAGACGCTGGTTCAATGGTTCGCCGCTGGGGGACAAACTCAATGAACTCACGGTATGATTCACGGTAAAGCTGCATGATTCTAGATAAACTGAGAATCATGATTTTTTTGTCTCAAATAGAGATCACGATTCTCCCAACTAAACAAGATTTTTGCTGCAGTCTATTTAAAAGTGTTTAATTAATTTGAATTAATTATTCAACATTTTAATATATATGTATTTAAAATACAATATATTTAATACACCAATTTTTTATATGAAAAATTTGAAAAAGTGGTTTGAATGAATGATTCAATGACTCAATACTTCACATACTTCACTTGTTTCATTACTGGATGAATCAGCGTTTTTTAACGAATCTCTTGAATGATCACTCATATAACTCATATATACTTCACTTGTTTCATTACTGGATGAATCAGTGTTTTTGAACGAATCTCTTGAATGAATGATTCAATGACTCATTACTGGATGAATCAGCGTTTTTGAACGAATCTTTTGAATGAATGATTCAATGACTCATTCATATATACTTCACTTGTTTCATTACTGGATGAATCAGCGTTTTTTAACGAATCTCTTGAATGATTCAATGACTCACTCATATATACTTCACTTGTTTCATTACTGGATGAATCAGTGTTTTTGAACGAATCTCTTGAATGAATGATTAAATGACTCATTACTGGATGAATCAGCGTTTCTGAACAAATCTCTTGAATGAATTATTCAATGACTCACTCATATATACGTCACTTGTTTCATTACTGGATGAATCAGCGTTTCTGAACAAATCTCTTGAATGAATGATTCAATGACTCACTCATATATACTTCACTTGCTTCATTACTGGATGAATCAGTGTTTTTGAACGAATCTCTTGAATTAATGATTCAATGACTCATTACTGGATGAATCAGCGTTTTTGAACGAATCTTTTGAATGAATGATTCAATGACTCATTCATATATACTTCACTTGTTTCATTACTGGATGAATCAGTGTTTTTGAACGAATCTCTTGAATGAATGATTCAATTATTCATTACTGGATGAATCAGCATTTCTGAACAAATCTCTTGAATGAATAATTCAATGACTCACTCATATATACTTCACTTGTTTCATTACTGGATGAATCAGCGTTTTTGAACGAATCTCTTGAATGAATGAGTCAATGACAAACACATTTTTTAACAGTCACTTTTCGCACCTAGTGGTGAAACGATGCAATCGACACAAACGTTATTTGAAGCGCCAATTACTTTCAGAAGGAGATTTGTTCTATTTTGAGCGCTACCTTAGACGTTAGTGTTTATATCTGAATTATAAACTTTCATCCCAGTATTTCTGTGATGATATGAATGACTGTAAAACAGACATAATACTGTGTAGTTGAAAAGACTGCTTGTGAAGCTGTTTTTTACCTAAACATGATAACTGCTCTCTCTGAGTCAGCGGCAGCGTGTTTCGGTATGATTTTTTTCAAAGGTTTATTAGACACCAGCGAATCGTTGTCATTTAAAAGTGGGATTGCATGGGTGTTTGAATCGAGATTGCAATCTTTTAACGATTAATAGTGCAGCTCTAATTCACGGGTTTACAGATATCGCCCCCCAATGGCAAACCATTGAAAAGTTTCGAAACAGTTATGAGAAGCCTCGTTTACTGAGATCACGTGACTTTGGCAGATTGATATGCGCTCCAAACCACTGCTTCGAAACAAATGATTCACAAAAGTTTTGAAGCTTCACGAAGCAGTGCTTCACTGCCGGAGCTGAAACACGGACAGAGAGCTCTCAGAGAACCGTACAGACGCCGCAGAGCCTGTGATGAAGCGTGTACCTGCAGGATCTCGGCCAGCTCGTGGCTGCTGTTGTCCAGCGCGATGTCCAGTGCGTTTTTGCAGAACTTGCTCTGCGCGTGAACATCAGCTCCGAAGCGCAGCAGCAGCTCCAGCACGTCTCTGTGGCTGTGCTCCACGGCCCAGTGCAGCGCGCTCATCTTCAACATGTCCTTGGCGTTCACGTCGGCGCCGTGCTGCAGAAACACACATGAATGGAGTCGTTGTTGGATGATGAAAGGCCACACTTAAAGAGGCAAATTACCGCAAATGCACTGCGAGTCAAACATTAAAGAGCCAGCGGGCTGTAAAAGGGTTAAGTACATCATAGACCCATTGAAACCAACCAACCAGCTATGATCAACTTAGGCTTACGATGCTTTTGGGAAGCACAGCCCTGGTCACTCACCTTCAGCAGCAGCTCCACGATGCGTGTGTGACCCTGAGACGCGGCCATGTGCAGCGGCGTCCGGTCCACTTTAGTGCGAGCGTCTCGACTCACGCCGGCGCGCAGAAGCACCTCTGTGGTGGAGTAATGACCGAACTGAGCTGACAGGTGCAGCGGAGACGTGCCCAGCTGCAGAGACACAATAACACCTCACTGTAAAGCACAGAGACACACACACACTCTCACTCACACACACAAACACTCACTCACTCTCACACGCACACACACACACTCACTCTCACAGTGGTGAACGGAGCTCCATTCGCCATCAGAATCCGGACCTTGTCGTCCTGACCGGCCCGAGCGGCTTCCAGGAGCTTCTTCCCCAAATCCACCAGAGACATCTGAAATCAGACACAGACATGCATTACAGCCATGGTGTAACATCAGAACACACACACACACACACACACACACACACACACACACACACACACTCTTTGTGTTTTAGAAACAACAATTTACTTCACAAAATGAATGGTTCACCAGAAAGAAAAAAAAAGAAAATTTGCTGGAAATGTAATCACCCTCAGGCCATCCAAGATGTAGAGGAGTTTGTTTCTTCATTTGCAACAGATTTGGAGAAATTTTGCATTACATCCTCCACAGTGAATGGGTGCCGTCAGAATGAGAGTCCAAACAGCTGATAAAAACATCACAATAATCCACAAGTAATCTA